ACACACACACACAAACAAACACACACACGCACACACACACTCACACAAACACACACGCAAACACACACACACACATGCGCACACAAACACACACACACAAACAAACACACACACAAAAGGGAGTTTTGAATGAAGAAAAACACTTCAACACAATAGCACTCATTTAGCAGTGGGGGGAACAGCCAGACAGACAAACAGACAGACAGAGACAAAAGAGGGAAAGTGAAACAGGAAGGAAAACAGACAGACAGAACCAATAGAGGGAAAGTAAAACAGACAGACAGAAACAAAAGAGGGAAAATAAAACAGACAGACAGAGACAAAAGAGGGAAAGTAAAACAGACAGACAGACAAACAGACAGACAGACAAACAGACAGACAGAGACAAAAGAGGGAAAGTAATACAGGAAGGACCCACCCGTGGTGTCCTCGAGCAGTGCTGGGCGATTTTAGGGAAAATGAACTTATCAAACATAATATGTGAGGCAGCGTGGTGAAATCAGGCTCTCGTCAAAATAATGACAATGAAGAAAGCGGCACCTTTCCACCAGATTGGTAATTTTTATCGAACGTTCATTTCTTTGGCCGAACACCTTTCTTGTCCATATAAAAAACCTTTCCATGTGCATTTCACAGAAAAAAAACGTTGATTATAGGGACAAAATATGTAATTTTAACTTTATCAAGAACTCTCAAGCTATTGAAATTTAATTGTCAAACTTTGGTGGCCATTTTCTCTCTAATTTTACCACTGAAACCGAGCGACCCCTCCTCCTTCAATCGCAAACATCTCGACTTCTATTCAACATAGATGGAGATTTTGTTCATCGAAAGCAAAAAAACAAAACAACAAGCTTTAAGACGTTACCAATAACCCAAAATACCACAAAAATGACGAGCGTCTGGTTCCACCGTGTCGTGACACATAGACTATGACAAATGACAACTGAAAGAGCTGCGGAGCTGATCTACCATAGAAAACTGCATCTCCCCTCGATACTTAACGGCAACAGAGGATGAACAAGTAAAGCAAGTAAGTAGAACTTCATCGGCTCTTCGAAGAGTAAGGACAATAGGCTACCTATTCATGCCATTCGAAAACTGCGCGCGAATGTTTGTTTTAGCAAATGTTTTACGGTACTTGAAACTCAATAAGGTCATATAAGTGCCGAAGATCAGAGGTGTTCCAAGAGAGTAACGAACACAAAAAAAGAAGGAGGGGAGATAAAGACGATAGATTTTGATAGGAAAGAAGAAGTAAATCACACCAGAGCACCCGCCAACCACTCACCGTACGAATGAGGGGGTTTTTTTCTTCTATAATGTTATTTAGTCTGATACGTGCATCCAGAATTTCTGCTATCGAACATTCACGAGAAGAGTGCAATACTATGACCAGCGCCATTCATAAAGCTTCAAATCTGAAATAGGGGAAGGGGAGTTCATTGCGACAGCTTACTGTTGATTTCTTGGGGAAAAAACCCACAAAAAAAAAACAACATCAGCTTCACTTCGAGAACCAATTGCCCTAGAACAACAGTCGAACCTGCACTGACGGCCGCCTCTATAAAACGACCACCTGTACAAACGGCCACTTTCCATCCCCCCCCCCCCCCCCTTGCGTTTTTTCGATATAATTTAACTGTGTAAAACGGGCACCTGTCCAACGCGGCCGCGGCCACCATATTTTAACACACAACCCATATCACACTAAGCAATAACACCTGTCTTAGACGGCCACCTTAGTGGCTCCATTACGTTTTGTCATAAATTGTGCATTGACCCCTTGCGTTGTGGGCGAGCCGTCATAATTCAATCACCTGTCGTTGTTGTTAGGTAGTCCCTCCAACCGATCATGTTGCGTAGGCCCCTCCCACTGTTGACCAATAGCTACCAATTTTCAGCTGCTGGTGAGGTAAGCGTGTGATCCCTCATAACCCATAAGCCCCGCCCAGAACTCATACACAAATCGTAAGTGAGATGAGTGGTTACTGTTTACCCAGTCTGTAACAAAGTAACAAAGGACGTCAACAAGAACTTGTGACAGAAGTGTCGCTTGTTCTCCGACTGGTGGCGACCCATGTGTTTGTTTTAACTTGGCACTCGGTTTTCCTCGTCTGATACCTTTCATTTTATTGTCACCCTTTTGCAAAATCAGCAACAAAATAAAAGTTACAAAAAATATACAAACCACCACCACCAACAACAACAACAACAAAAACAACAACAATGCAGCTACTTTCGATTGGGACCTCAGATGGGAATGGTTTGTTTTCTTCATCTTGATCAGTCCTGCCTAAGACGGTCACCTGTCTTATACGGTCACTTTTCTCCTTGATAATGGGTGGCCGTCTTACACAGGTTTGACTGAATTTACGACGTAACTTGTGAATATCGAGTAGTCGTGGATACTTCTTTTTTTTTTTGGGGGGGGGGGGGGGGGTTGAGTGTTTTGGGGGGAGGGGGTGTTTTTTTGTTGAAAACTCTTGTTGGCGCCACTTGTTACTGTATTTAACTAATTGATTTTAGATATAATATAATGAGCTCTAATTTTATTACGGTTTGAGATTTTTTTTAAATCCCCCCTCCCCCCCCAAAAAAAAAAATAATAATAATTACACTGCACTCAAATGGTTCTGCTACTCTTCGAATAGCTGTGAATAGAACAACAACAACAACAACAACAACAACAACAACAACAACAAAACAATTTTAATATTGAATAGCAAAGTCGAATGAGCACAGCTCTGCCCTCGAGTACCGACATAAAACAATTCTTCGGTAACGGATCCGTTCTAAGTAAACTAAGTTGAGAAAACTCACGGATAATGGCCACTCAATATACACATGTAATGTGTGTGCACTGTGTCGAACAAAGAGAGAAATGTGAGGCGTGCTGACAATAATGACTTACTTCTCACAATCTATAAATGAAGATATTGGCCAAAAATTGACACTGGGATCAAATTTGTAGATTTTCTATTGATGTTATATTATATACTTTGAGTAGAACATGCCTTTTAATTATTATTTCATACTTATAAATTGTAAAAACTTCACCTTTTTTTAGCGTGATGTATCTATTTTTATAGGGCTTGAATCCGAGCACGCTGCACAAACGTATTCCAATAAAACAAACAATGAAGTTCTTTTTTCAAAAATCATGTGTCTTGTCAGTTAAAAAAAGAAGACACCCCCCCCCATTCCTCCTTATATAAAAAAAAACGTCCCCTTCATCTGTCATGCTAATAACTGTGCCTGAACTGCAGCAGGGAACTGCGGCTTTTTCTATTCTAATCCTTACTATCGTCATTTTCCTCTACTTCTTTTGTATGTTTGTTACTCTCTTGAGACCCGCTTTATCCGGGGTGCCTTGATAGTCGAAGCAGACTTTGTGCTGCTGAAGCTAGAGAGGTGAGCAGAGTAAGCCTGATTTCCTGTAAGGACTTCTCTGTTGACATCCACCCGTTGGCGCTCATATTAACATAGGCAGTTTTTAAAAAACGAAGTGTATACAGACCCGGTAACCGGGAACAAAGTCACGAAGTATACAGACCCGGTAGGGGAACTCTTTTGTGATTTCGGAAAGTTTCAGCGCCCA